CAGGCCGGTGCGCTCGGCCGCGGCGAATGGGCGTTGGCTCGGAGGCCGGGGACGGAGACCCGGGGAGGGACCGTTCCCTGCGCCTGGGGCCTCCCCGCCCAGGAGGAGACTGGGACCAGGTACCTCCCTCGCTGCCTTCGGAATGGGTGTGGGCCGGGGGTGGGCAGGGGAGCCTCTGGGGGTGTGTCACCCCGCCTCTCCACTCCCGGCGCTCCACTCCCAGCTGGCCCAGGCCGGGCGCCGCAGGGGGAGCCCGCCCTCGACGCTGAAGCTGAAGTTTAGAGCCGGTGGTGGCTGTGGGACCTGCCGCCGTGCAGGGACCCCAAACTAGCGAGCGCTGTGTGCCGACAGCCTTCCAGTTGTCTCGGCCCTTACGCATCCCGCAAGCTGGAGCGTCCTTAGACCCATTTTGCGCACTAGGGGGTCCGGAGGAATAAATCACTTGCCCAAGCCAGGGCCGTGTGAGGGGCCAGCTGAGAACTGAAGGAAGTGGGTGACAATGAAAGGAGACGTTGCTTTCCTACCCCAGCGCCCTGCCCACTCCGGGGTCTTCCTGAGCGGAAGGAGGGAGTTGGTGTTGGGCTCCTCACGGCCTGAGTTGGGGAGGAAGCCTGAGGGTGAGGTCCCCACTAGGACCTGGGCTAGTGGAGGGCCTCCAGGAGGGTCACAGGCTGCGAGGGGGTGCGCGGTCACACAGCATGTGTGTATAGCGAACATAGGTGTGCACAGAGGGAGTGTGTGTGTACGGAGAAAGTGTGTGCACCTACATTGTGTGTGTATGTTCTGCCAGGTGAGTGTCTTGCCGGAGGTGCTGGCCCAGGCCCAGACCTGTTTCTGGGTCTCTTCTGAGGATACCAGGCCTTATTGTGACCCCCATGACAGAAAGAAACGGTACTGGGTGTGGCTGCTGGGACTTTCTCCAGCAAAGGGGTTCCCTCTAGGATGAGTCTCCTCCCTCCTTTCCCTTTCCCTCCCCCACACCTGTCCTGGCAGGTAGGGCTGCTTCCTGGGCCCAGTCAGCCTCCCCAGGAAGGGTGGCTCTCCACAGAGGAAAGCTGTGTGTCATGCTCTGTTTTCCTTTCGGGGCCCATGGTCTATAACTAGGGGAGAGAGCCCCAGTATTCGTTTGGAATTCTTTCCTTCTCAGAAACCAGCTTCCCCTCCCAGAAATCGCAAGGCCTGGCTGGGCTCAACTTGGATCCCTTCTTCTTTGTTTTAAAAATGTGTATTTATTTAATTAACTGAACAAAGAAACTTAAAGTAAACCAGGAGTATCCAAACATGACATGAAATCTCTTTAAAAAAACAAAACAAATGAAAAACCCAAACCACAGCCCCAGAAAATCCTGGACTGCCTAATTTACCAACTGTTCACAGAGGTTGCAGCTGCTTCCAGCCTGGCTTCCCATCAGAGCCCCGACCTTGGGGTCTCAGCCTAGACCTTGTCTGGTCCCTCACGACTCTACCCTCACGATTTTCATTCCTGAACCCACTCAGGCCATAGTGTCTTCCATTGTCCCTACATTCCAGGGTTAACCTCTCCTTCCCTGGTTGTGGGCCTATGGGCTGTTGGCAGCTTCTTGTTTCCACCACAAGTTACGTCCGTTTTATTTTATTTTCTCCTTTTAAATTATTTCTTGGATCATAATCCCCAAAGTAGCATTCCTGGGTCAGAGGGTGCAACCACATTTATGATTCCTGTCAGTGGCTGCCTAGTTGCTCTCCCAGAAAGATCTAGAAGCAAACAGGTTTTCCAGCCTCTGGAGACCAAAGGAGTGTCAAGTGCCTGGGCTCCAGAGGGGGTAATGCCTGAGGCCTCTATCCTTTGCTCCTGGGCCTGTTCTGTGTAATAGCCCTTCAGAAAAAGTCACATCCAGCTCAAGTACTTACTGCTTAGGCTGTGTTGCTGTTGTGCTGACATTGATTGACACTGGCTCCAATTTGGGGGGGAGGGGGGCATGTTAAGTGTGTTCCGTTGATCACCCCATTGATTGCTACCTTGAATTCTCAAGTGGTTTCCTTGTCNGTGTTCCATTGATCACCCCATTGATTGCTACCTTGAATTCTCAAGTGGTTTCCTTGTCTACATAATGACCTGCTTCAGCAAGTCAGCAGAGGCTTAAGGGTTGCCCCAGTCCTGACCAAGTGCTTAGGAGATGGTTGCTGTTCTAGCGGTCATTTATGTTAGTAGTAGTATCTTTACTTAAAGATGAGGAAACAAGTGAAGTAGCTTGTGGAGGTCACCTGCTAAGTAAATAGTGACTGGAGCCCAGGTCTGCCCAGTTGTTGAATTGAGCTTTCACTTCACTGCCCTGACTTCCAGTGTCAGAAGTGAGTCAAATACAGTCCCTGTCCCCTGACCAGAGAGCCCCTGCAACACTGATTTTAAGTCTGGGATGCTGGTGGGGTAGCCTCTGGCCTTGAGCAAAGTAGGGATCTCAAAGTCTTAGGTGAGTGACAAGATTAGGCCCTGAACTGTGATGAGGGATCCATGAGATCAGTGTCGAGTCCGCAGGTGAGCAGAATCACTTTGTGTCTTCCATCTTGTGTCCAGGTGAATTTGTTTAGGGAATGGCTGCCCTGTTTTCACTGTTTTTGGGGGGAGTGGGAGTGAGGGGATGGGAGCTTCTCTGCTACCCAGTGGATGGTGTTTTATTCCATAATCTGGGAAGCTGTCTTTGAATGAATACAGGGATTCATATGCTTTGGGTAACTCTCAGCACTATACATTGTGGTAATCAGAGTTGTGTCCAGGCACCCAGCTCTGAGATGAGGGAAAGTCAGAAGCTGCCAGAGGACTGAGATTTTCTGCTTAGAATTCGCTGCAGGATAGCCCTGGCTGTTGATCCACATTTGTGATTCCTGGTAAGGTGGGCCCATCCTAGGCTCCATCCAAAAGTTAAAGATTTTCTTCAGTTTCTTGTTATGTCCTGGGCAGTTCATAGTGAGGCCTCAGCACATTTAATTGTAGTCGTCTGCCAGAGCTGGCAGTTTTATTTACTTGTTTTTTCCAGAAACCTTCCTGACATTGGGCAGCCCAGCCAACTTGGAGAAAAAAGGGGTCTGCAGCCCAGGAGTGACAATTAAGGCTGCCTAGAAGTTTGGGTGGTGTGTTTTGGTTTGATCCTTCAGAAAAAAAGGAATTTTTTTTCCTTTTTGGAGGATTCAGTCTGACCCTGATGTTTACTTAAAGTGCATGTGCCAGGCCAGCACCCCAGAGCAGGCGGGGTGTGTGTTCCCAAGACCTTGGGTCACTGGGCAGTGTTTCCAGGGTGGTGGGGTCACCGTGCCACTTAGCCCATTTCCTTTCCTTTTGTCCCACTCCCACCAAAATAACGTACAACTGTTCCTAAATTCTCTTTTCTGAACTACCTAGCAAATGCCACTGTGTCTTTTAGGTAATATGGTTCAGACCCAGAGTGTGTTTGAAAAGTAAGTAAAAAGTAGCACAATAACACGCTTTGTCAGAATTAACAAGTTTGGGGGCATTTGCCACAGAGTAACACAGTAGTGTTCCCGGTAGCTCTTGTTAAGAGCGATGATTCTTTATTCAAATCCCACTTGCTACTAAATAGCTATTAAGACACTTATGTGCCTTGGTTTTCTTTTCACTAAAATGGGTACAGTACCTATCTCTGATAAAAAATAAACACATTAACATTGAAAAAAGTGCTCCAAACATTTTGTGGCACATGGTAAGTGCTGTTTGAGTGTTTGTTAAATAAATCAGGTGCTGTCCAAGAATACTCTCAAAAGTCACACTGGAGGGTGTTCACACTGAAAGGGCATTTAAAATCTGTGCTGCACCGGGGAGACTAGCTTGGTTGGCTAGTGCTAATTCTGTTTGCTCTCACGAGGTTATAGACTGCCCAGAGGGTGCCCCCTCCTTGGAAGGGGATGATCCCTTGCTATGTTATGGCTGCTTCTGGGCCCATTCACACCAGCTTTGTTTCTCAGAGCTGGATGGGAGCTCCGGGTGGCTGGTCATTCCAACCTCCCACCCCGCTCAGGAATCTCTGGGCCAAATCACTTCCAGATGGCAGTTGGGCCTCTGCGGAGCTCCTTCAGCGCCGGTGGAGCCAGCGTGCCAGTCAGCAGCCGCCTTCATTCTTGGAGAGTCTGTGCTGAAGGAGGGCTTTGATTTGGAGCCAAATTATGTCTCGCAGCACTCCCCCCTCCCTGCCCAGGGTCCTGGTTCTGTGCTGTGAGGTGAGTGTCACTTCTTAGTCAAGGATGGCTCCTTGCTCTTTGGGCAGCGGACGCTCAGGCTCTGAACCTTTGGGCCCTGGCTGCAGTGGCTTC